TATTATATGAGTGAACCTTAAAAAAATTAGAACATTTCCCGGTTTCAGGATAAGGCTTAAAGTTCCTGCCTCAGAATATATACCCCTAGTGGAGTGTAATTTATAAATATTTTGTCTGAGCATAAATGTTACTTCTTTATGAACTTTACTATCAAACATGAATCGAATAAAYAAGATTATCACCACTTAATCTGTTGTCCTGTGGATTGTGAGAATGCAGTTTAGCTATTAAATATTTTATACCCGTTTAGAAGTGATAAGAGTTATTTATTATATATAGCCAGGTCCCTGAGCTAAATCATTTTAATAAATTTCTTATCCTTATCCTTATATTCATAAAAACATTTTGCCACCTGCACTCCAGTGAATCCTGACAATTATCAATATTTTTTAACAGGTACACTTTATCTGATTAATTAAACTGATGTACATTATGTACTTCTTCCAAAATTAATCAAACAATAAGGTAAAGGTGGTCTAATGATCTTTTTCATCTGCGTTGTATATAGTGCCTCCTAATATAGCCACCCATGCGGCATTTGCCATTAGTTATGAGGATATTACATGGGCGTGCCGAGTGTCTGATTGTACTATTAATCTAGCTATCACAGTAATTGTTAGAAAATGAGAAAAGGATTTTCAACATGAGAAGATAAAATCTGTATCTCCAAGCAATCATGTAATATTTTGTTTATCATATAATCAATGCTCATAGTGAGATATTTTGAAGTTTTCAAAATTGAGAAATATACTAGGTATTTTATTGATAATTATACATAATATGACTCATGTGCAACAGACACTGCTCTCAACAAATTTACTAATTATCACTCTTACAATTTGACCACTCTTTCGAGGTTTAAAAACACTTGACAAAATTGCCAATAATGTAAACAAAGGTACATGATATCATGGCTCTAAACTACTCCACATCTATAAATCCACTCATACCTGACGCTATACAATTGGCCAATTCAAGAAGAACTTTTTGCTTGTTTGGCTGGGTGTGGATATCATGAGTAAGTTCTTGTAGCATTTTCTTCTTATCGCTGTGTACACAAAACTGTAAAACAAAAAAATGAATCACACTCAATACCACTAAAAATGAAATAAAAGAAAATTTATACAAGTAAATTAATGAAATGTCAAAAAAAATTACAAAAGAAACAGGAATTCTAATTTTTGTGAAGAATTTTTATTATCTATATAATTATATTGGTATTCTTGCAATAAGTTTAAACCAAACAAATGCTGTAGACAAAACAAAGGTAGACAGATGTGAGATGGGGGGGGGGGGGGGCATTGTTCTAGAGTCCTCCAAAGTCTTTCAAAAAAAATGACATTCTCTAATAAATTCTACTGTTTAATGACTAATGTTAAACCATGTCTCCCCTTCCCTGCTTACGAAATAAGCCACACACTAAAAAATGCAGTGCCACCCCTGCAAAGGCACAAAAAGTTCTTTACTTCAAATACAATTGCATGTCCCTAATATAGGTCCATATATAATCAAGGAGATTGCCATATGGTGGCTTAACACTTTTGAAATTATACAACTTGTAGTACAGTTAATGCAATTAAAATTAAAACCCAAATRAAATAGGCTTGCATGTCAGTTTGTTTGGCCATATCCTGCAAACACTAAATTGAATTACCAGAAATGGTAATGACCTTAAAGTGGCTCTAACTCAATCTAATTGACCTGAGTTAAATGATGCAATTACTTTTCTTTTAAATCAATCTCCTGTGTAATAAACTGATTCACAAACATTACTATTTTCATAWAATCGGATGCTCTCAGAAAAAAAAATATACCAGTTATCTTTTATATAAGATCAGTGCATTGTTAAAATTTAAAATGGATTAGATATATATAACAAGGTATTAACATGGGTCAATAGCAACATTTTGAAATCCATTTCTAAGAAATCTGGGTCTGTTTTATGAGATGAAAGTGACAGCAATAATAAAGAGACTTGCATCCTTGTATCGATATATGTCAACTTCACGACAAGAAATATTAAGTGGAAAGGAAACATGTACAGGTGTTTTTRACTGCGACTCTGAAAGGAAAGCAGAGGCTACTTCTCCTGTCTCAATTTAATACAAACAGATTAATGGTAGGCACATTAGATGGTTTTGCCATGACAACATTAGATAATAGAGAGTCCAGGATTAGCAAAGCTTCTAGAATTGAAATTCATTAGGTTTYCTTTACGTTTTCTCCTCCAGTTACCCTAGAAAGTTCCATTTTGTCTTGATTAAAGACATGATACCAAAAGATAAGTGCTTTCAAGAAATATCAATTTTCCACTTGGAATATTTGAAATAATGGAAAAGGAAGAGCTAAAAAACTATAATATGACCCAATTTATTAAACTCATCAAAAATAATGCAACAAATTTTGTCAATCATGGAGCAAAAACAAAGATATTTGTGAAGTGGAACATAAACAAATAACTTTTAAAGTAAATGAAATATTCCCTCTTTGTTGTCGACGATAATCTATTTTCTGCGGGATAATTTATTTATTCCAAGGGATATATTCTGAACAATATGCAAGAAATGTCATTTATTTGTTGAGTGTATCTTAGATATCAGTAAAATCAACAAAATTTCAATCCATCGACACCCAGCTTACCTTCCACTTTGACAGAGAAGCCCGGTGATGAAGGGGCCCTAATGGCAAGAAATTAAGAGAATCAAACTACATTCTCAACAACAATCAGCACATTTCCTTTAAATTTACCCCGTGTGCCATTCTGTCTGGTATTCTCTTGATGATCGTTTGGTATTCGTCCTTTCTGCTTAAGTTTCCTTGTTTTTCTAATAAGCCATCTCTCTAGCCTGTCTTGATCAACATGTTTCATAACAAACTCGTCCAAAAACATCGGATTCGATTGAAGATACGTTCGAACGGTTTCGTTGTCGACGTGAGTTTCTGAAAAAAATATCGAACTCTTCTTTAAAGCTCAAAAAGTCAAGTAAAAATGAAGGCCACATTTTCTTATAAGCTGTGTTAGTTAAACAAAGAAAACGGTTTTTCTCCGCCGTGTATTGAAGAACAATTTTGTGCTCTCCCAAGAGACCGGTAAATGWACAAAGCAAAGTCGGATTTTGCGGGCTTTCCCTAAAACTTTCATTCCTTGGGTGGTTCGATCGGCCTAAAATACACAAAATAAAACAATATGCGGTCAAACGAATTAAGAAGAACTGGCGTATTCATAAATTTGTGGCTTCTTGAAGTGGATTTCGCGAGTTGTCAATGCAACTAAGAGTTGTAGAAACCTTCAAACACCGCTTGCACTTGACACAAAACTCACCATGCGAATCGTGAGACGGTCTTTCAATTGCTTTGCCTTGAATGAGGGCAGGTCTGAAAGGTCCATCGTTAAACGGCACGTTTAAATCATAGTGTCCATGGTTGTTGACCTGGTTCGTGTGGTGGTTGCTAACCGGACCTCCATGCCGCGAACTTGTCGAAGAAGCACTGCCACCTTTTACACTACCGCCGCTAGGAATCCTTCTAATGGGACTGCTTCTTGTACTGTTAGGAAGTGGCGGTAGCCGCCGGTTTGATATTTGGCGTGAAGGGCTAGACATTTTAAGTTAGCCTAACAGAAGAAAATCGCAAGAGACTTCTCATGATGGAGCAACCGATGAGCGATAGTGTATGTTATGTTTATCATCTCAACCAATGGCGACCAGATGTCTTTTTTCGCTTGTAAGGGTCACGTGGTCACAAATCACATTGACAAATGCTCACTTTTTTCACGTTCAACCTGCAAAAGGCACTTTCTTTTCGCGCGACAAGTCCCTGATGCTATTCCATTAGAGTTCTTCTGGTAAATACGTTTGAATTTCTTGTCAGAGATACTGAATCAAATCAGGCTAAATGAAATGTAATTCTATCTTAGCTATAAATAACTAAGTTATATTTAGAACTTAATTACCTACAAAACAAAGAAAAACAAAAACAAAACAAAAAAATGGGAAAAGGATTCTTTTTTAATTGCCCTTTTATTTCATACAGCGCTTCAGAAGTCGATCAAGCAGCCGGTCAAGCCGGAGCTGAGAGGTCTGTGAGATGTGATAGATCGCTCCCTTTCGCCCTGAGCCCTGAGATGGGACAAAGTTATTCATAACTATATATAACAACATGTAACTTAGGGGGTCAGGTATTATGATTATGAGGATGATTCAAGGTCAATGACTCCAATTCACCATCAAGAAAAACAGGAAAAACTCAAGGGAAGGCCATTTAGGTAGAGAAATGCGAMTACTTGATTATACATCCGGTTATAAAGACAGTCCAATGCAGTGCAGTTAATGAATGGGGATAGTGTAGTAATTGAATGCTGTATAGCTTATATGAGCGACCGGCTTTTTAAGTTTTAATAATGATCTCATAGTAAGTGAACTATGATTGACTTGAGCAGTGGCGGATCCAGGGGGGTTCCATGCCGGTTCCTAGAACCCCCCTCGAGCATAAAAAAAATAAAAAAGTATAGCTGTCTTATATCTTACAATAGGTAAGCGGCTTTATACACTTTTTACCACATGGCTGCAATGTACCCACACAGAACTGTAAAGCATTTTGAGACTTTAAATAAGAGATGCGCTGTCTATAAAGTACACCATCATTATCATTTTTCTATGTTTACTTATCTGCCATGTGAATACTTTTCAGTTTACCAAATTTAGGTTTAGCATGAAAGTTTTCAGCTGATTATAAGGGGTAGACATGGAAGACGATTAGGAAAACAATTATGGGGGTCAACATTTATCAAAATGAGAAATGCACAGAAAAATGAGAAAATTAGCCCCAAAATATCGCGATAAGGTCCAAAAAATATACATTGCAGCTCTATGGCAAAAAAATAAAATAAAAAAAGGCAATTAGCCCCTGAACGAAAATCCTGGTCTGATCCTAAAACTTCATATGCGGTAGAAATCGTTTGTAACACTGCTGGCGTTCATACCAAGAAGTATACACGTACTATAGTGTTCAATGTTTTCGTGATCTCCAAGTTCATTTGAGAAAGGGTTATAAAAAGGTTTTTCACTGTAATTGCCGTTTATGCGTAACGATGAATTCAGCACACGAAAATTGTTAAGGGTATAACTTTAAAAGATGGATGAGAAACAATTTKTTTTTGAATATAGGTAAGAAATTAAAARGAGAAGCGAGACCGGAAAAAAATTTAATTTGACAATTGCTGACCGGAAGTTGACGTGGTGTCTTATCATTGGAAAAAAACAGGTGAAAAACTGGCTGATCCCATTGCATTCTGGGATAACCGGAACTCCAAAGACAAAAGAACATCATTTCGAACCAAGATGGCGGACGCGGTGGTYAATGAAACTCTCTCGAATCTAACAGCGGCTGTTAACGAAACAGCGAAAAATGGCACGGGAAGAGCTGCCGCTACGCCTGAAGGACTACTCACAGCTTACTCTAGYCTTGTTATTATGGCGCTTGTGCCCATATTCTTTGGTTCTTTTCGCTCTGTAAAATGTGTGATCCGTCAGAAAGTAAGGAGTCTGGAATTAAGTTACTCTTGTCATTGGTTCGCGAGTAGAATCAATTCATCATTTGTAAAAAAAGTAGATTGTCTGTATTCAATATATTTTACATTATCAGCCATCGCTTTTGTGTACACGAAAATCGAAACGTTTATCTACAATCGTAGAGTTTATAGACTTAACGTACGTAATTTATTCCTTTTCCACTAAGACACGTACACCATCTGACCAAAAGCACCTTTTGATTTTCTAATAACTTTATACTTTATCTTTAACAGGAATCAGGTGAAAAGCCTGAGAGTATGACTTCAAAAGATGCTGCTATGTTTCCCATTGTGGCAAGTTGTACTCTTTTTGGACTCTACATATTCTTCAAGGTGAGTTTAAAGTTAAGATTACATTAATCCAGAAAAAAACTCACGCAGGAAAAAGGATAAGCTTAAATATATTTTAGCTTAAACAACTATTGGGCAACTTTTTTGACTGATCTCACATAGAGTTAATGGTATCAGATACATGTGTATAACATCAAAATGTCATATTTTGTAAATACAATTAATATTATACATCAATATTGATAATATTCAAAGTTCATTTTAAATCTTACAACATTTTTCAGTGTATAAAATGAACTTTAATTTACAACTTTGTATTTTCTATGCAAGTTGTTGAAATATGAAAAAAATTTCTTCTCTTTTATGCAGATATTCAGTAAAGAGTATGTGAATCTTCTCTTGACTTCATATTTCTTTATCTTGGGTGTCTTAGCATTAACCCATCTTTTGAGGTATGTCAGTGTGTGTTCATGTTTTATACATCTATTGGTCAGGTGGGAGGGGGGTTCGATTGGTCGGGTGGCATGGGAGGGGGGGTGTGGAATCACTGGATTCTGACAATATTTGAATATTTGGTGTGATTTTTCATATTTTCAGTTTTAGATTTGTGAATTGCTCAAAAGAACATGTAAAGTTATTCAGTTATGAATAACTGACCAGTAGATGATTTAAACTTATTTTCTTACAGATTTACCAGGCTTRTTTTGTAGAGTTCTGGATTTTAACCCCACTGTAATTAATTATTGCACATCTACTCTTTTGACAGGCCAACAGTGGAGTTGTTGATGCCATCTGTTTTTCCCAATCAAGTGTACACCTTTGATTTAACAGAGGGAAAAGGCGAAGAGAAGAAAGGTAGAAATARAGAGTATTTTACTCTCAACTTTTCAAATGTTTTTGCGATCAYTCACAACATTTTAATTTGTGTCAGAATTGTCTCACGTTGACTTTGATCGAATTGACTTGCTTTGTCTTGGTGCTTCTGCTGCATTTGGTGTTTGGTACCTTTTGAAGAAGGTTAGTTGTCATTTTTAACCTAGTGTAAGTTGTATCTGATTCATCCCAATAAACCTTTGTTTCTTCATCATTGACAATATAACTGTCTGTTTGGTTGTTTTTTATTATTAGTGTACTTTTACTTCTTAATGTCTTATGCTCATTTTCCTGCTCATTTGCTGCAGTCTCTTATGGTACTTTTCATTCACCATATATTTAAACTTTGCTGGCAATAATATCTTTGATTATTTATCAAGTACATTATKCATACTTGTACTTTATGTTGGCTATATGTTAGTGCTTACCGCCTGTACTTCTTTGTTTGTTGTAATACATAATACAATAKTATTGTTTCCTTTTTAGCATTGGCTGGCCAACAATATTTTTGGACTTGCCTTTTCTTTGAATGGAGTGGAACTTCTTCATCTTAACTCTGTAGTTACAGGGTGTATCCTTCTTGGAGGACTCTTTATTTATGATATATTCTGGGTAAGGGTTTTAGAAACCATCACATACTATTTAACTTCTTAAGATAAAGAGAAAAAGATGATTTTAACTACAGGATATGTATGAGTTAGTAAAGTCAAGAAGATAACCATTTCTAATTCTTGCCAATCATGGTTTTGTTAGTCTCCTGTTGTGTGCACCTGAAAACAAAATGGATTTGAAGGAGACATGATTTTGTGATTCTAATGCTTTTGCAATGATTTTCATGTTATTTGTTGTATTATGAATTTCTAGGTATTTGGTACAGATGTAATGGTAACAGTTGCTAAATCCTTTGAAGCTCCTATTAAGCGTAAGTAACCTTTTGATGTTCTGTTTTAGTAGGAATAGCACATCCCATGTTGATTGACATTCAGTTGATTTGTTTTTCAGTGGTATTCCCTATGGATATACTAGAAAAGGGTTTATCTGCATCAAACTTTGCCATGTTGGGATTGGGAGATATTGTTATTCCAGGTAATACTTGTTTGTAATCAGCTAATTATACATGCCAAGTGCATTAGTAGAGTCCTATGTAGCCATTATTAGTGTTAGTCCTAGACCCTCTCCACTATTASTAGTAGGGAGGGCCTGGGAACTAGAATAATCAAACTCTAAGCGCATTTATAGCCMTGCTTTGTATTGAGTAAGGGGGTCGATGGTCTAGTTAGGATAAGGTTCCAATATTTTATTATTTAGTATTATAATTATCACTSATGTTATAGCTTTCTTAGATATCAGTTTACAAATATCTTATAATTGACAAAAATGTGTAATTGTTGATAGAATTGTAATAATATTGTTGTCTTTTAGGGATCTTTATTGCTCTTTTGCTTCGATTTGACAACAGGTAACAACTATTATAACTGTTATATTATAGGTCAATTCTAACACGCGCKCTGATTGGCAGATTTCATGAAAAAAGATATGGTTTATTCCACCTATAAACCAGCATGCTGTCTTGAAAAACTTTTGAGTCTAAGTGGCAGTCATCGGCTTTAATATAAAAGCAATATACAATAGCTTGAAGCAGTTTACTGGCGAAATAAACTGCTTGGGATGGTTGGGCTTGACGGCTYGTGATTTACAGAACTTTTCTGGTGTTCTCCCAACCATCAGGACTGCACGGTTTATTTCACCAGTAAACCGCTTCAAGCTATCGTTTATTGCTTAAAAAATCATTATCTACCTAAATCTCATCACTGCCAGGATGATTTTACCTCTGTCTTTCAATCTCCACTAATATTACACCAGAGTGCCTCTTGATTGATACATTATAAAGGTGCAAAGTTTCAGTTCATATAGCAATAACAATGTGAATTATTTTTTGTCACTGATGTTGCTACCTTTTCATTTCCCAGTAGAAATGGCAGCAAGAGYATCATYTATTTTTATGCCACTTTCATTGCWTACTTTGTTGGCCTGGTAACGACRGTGCTTGTCATGCACAAGTTTAAAGCRGCACAGCCTGCTYTGTTATACTTGGTCCCAGCATGCCTTGGTACACCTCTAGCCCTTGCTCTTGTCCGTGGCGAAATCAAAGAGCTATTGAAGTATGTAGTAGTGTCTTTGTTGGAGTTTTTTATCAAGAGGATAGTTATGTCATACACTTTTTTTATAAAAGCAAATTAATTCTGCTAAATAATGAAGCATTTGTATCAGAGCRAAGAATTTGAAAATTAAGAACTTTTTTCTCTAACAAAATTTACCTGAGAGCATTGTATGTATTCAGAGCATTGCTTTATTTAAGAAACATTTTGTTTTGTTTGTTATCAGTTGTCTTTTTTTAATTACATGCAGTGGTCAAATTACTTGAAACCAATAATGTTATTGCCAATCAGGGGAAGGATAGTGAAAACAAATGATGGATAATGATATTGTTTAACAGATGTTCTTGTGTTTTTGATATTTTCATTAGATATGAAGACCATCCAGAGGAAGAGACCAAGGATCAGTCTAAGGAAGAAGTTGTTGGAGAACAAAATGGAGAMACAAAGAAATCGCAGTAAAACTAAAGACAATGATACTAAAAGACTGAATGATTAAAACAGCCAGGACTTCTATATTATGTTTAACAGTCATAAGTTATTAGTGACTCATGAAGCATGCATCGATGTGCAAGAAATGTAGTGTGACTAGATTCAACATTATAAACTWTCGCTCTCCATAGAACTGAAGACAGTGACTCAAATCATTTACACTCAGATTTTTTTATTTATTGGATAAATATTATTGTACTGTAATTTTCTTATCTTTCTAATGGGGAGCAAACACAAAAACCATGAAATAGTTCTAACCAAATAGTGCAGTTAATAGTATTGATCAGAAAAAAAGGAAATAAAAAAAGTATAATTCAGTAGCACTGACTTGTAGTGTTAAAACACTATATATTTKTCAGAACTGACTGTCCAGGCCCAAARAGAATTCCATCAATCAYTCTTGTTCTGACAGAAGAATCRATTATTGCAATKTWWCCAYTAKT